GATGGTAACAGCTTCCTGTTATCCAGTCCCTGAGCACTTGACCATCCCTAGGTAGTTCTATGAACTCTGTACAGAGTTCCTTCTCTAGACTTTCTTCACTTAAACCATCTGGGTATGTCACTGATTCCTGTTGGGACCTTGTCTATTGTAGAAAAAGAAAAAAAAAAAACTCTTAGAAATCAATGCCTTAGAGGAAAGCTTATCAACCAGGTCCCAAAATTTCTATAAAACTAAAAGAATATAATCTGAACTTGTCATGAAAACTGCACACTTAAGCTATAGCCTGAAATTATGGAATAGACAAGTTGTAAAGCTGTCACGAAGACAACAAGCATTTAAATTAAAGGTTATGGAATGAGATCCACTTAAATATTACCTTGAAATTCAAGGAAATTTAAGTCAATCCGTTATTTAAAGGCTCTATTTTGAAAACTGATCATTCCGAAAACATTTTTCAAACAAAAACATGTGCTTAATAATAAAATGGGCGGATATAGAAAACTATTTTTTCAGATCAGCAGCTTACCTCTTTGAACTTGTGACTGAGCTTGCTTGTGTCTAGGTCTGATGGGGAAAACATGTCTTCGTTCTCAGGCAGCTCAAAGACTTCGATGGCCATGTCACTGCCAGGAAGGACAGGTCCTACCTCATCTTCCTCTTCATCTGTGGCATATTCTCCTGTCTGAAAGGAAGGGGATTTCAGAAATCCGGCTCTCCTTGCCTCAGATGGAGGTGGGTTATTTGAAAATATTTTATAAAAGAGAAATAAAACATGTCACCAAATGGTAAAAGTGTAAGTAGGCTTTTAATTCAAGCATGCCTCATGCAGCCAATGTTATAAACACATGTTAGTGTAAAGATCCAAAGTGACATGTCTATGCCATGTGTAAGTGCATTTCTAAAAATCTAATAGCATCAGTAGCATCTTTAGTATAGCAACAAAAGTTGTTTTCAATCTAAGTATTTGATGGCTTAAATAAAATTAATTAAATAAAATTATGTTGCTAAGGAAAATAATTCCCTTAAATTATCACCTGTGTGAATAAGTCACCCAATACTGGGAGCAGAAAGGAAGGGGAGATCAAAAGATTCACAGGGTTGGAAGGGACCTTAATTAAGCCTTACAAAAGTTTAGTAGATTATTCACCTAAGCTTTTAGAGTTCAATCAGTTCTGTTTCGTTTAACTAATGTGGTAGTTAACTAGTGACCTAAAGGATAATCCAAAGGTTTCTAATTTATAGCCTGCACAGCTGTCTTGCCTTGCCTGCAGAGTACTCTGATAAATCTTAGTATTTTGTCAACGTTAAAAAAAATTTTTCAAAAAAAAAAAAATTCACATAAGATTCTAGATTTCCAGTTTTTCTTGAAGATCTGGCATTGTAGCATGATGACATTTGGCCACAGTCAGCAATGGTTGCCCCTTTTACATGGGTCACACACTTTTTAATAAACCACAACTTCTGTAACTCCATACTGTTCTATGCTGTTAGCTTTACTCCTTCATCATGCTCGCAGGCCCCTGTATCTTAGTTCATGACCCCTGGAATAAATGTTCCTCCTCACCACTAACTTCCTTAACATTATTAGAAAACAGCTCTTCTCCTGGCAGCATCAGGCTACGAGACACTATTTCAAAATAACTGTTTGAGATCTATACTTTATGATATATTTTAAAGATAAATCACTGACTCATTTAATTCATCTTTGTCCCTTCAGGTAGTTATATCTAATACATAAAACAGATAGGAATTCATATTGCCTTTAAAAAACTTTCATAAACAGTGTACTGAGTGATCTATTCCTTTGATTTAAAAGGCTTAGCATCTGACTGCTGCTTTTTCTTTTGGTTCTGGACTATGTTCTTTTTGCTAAGGCTGAAACTATTTCTTTTACTATGTTTGCACATGAAGAAATATGGTCATTAACCTCAATGTAATAATTCCTAATGTCTGGAAGACCATTATTAAATTGCAATTCTGACTTCTCTTTTTCAAGTAAAACATCTACAGTCTCCTTGTAGGTTTCATTCTCTGTAACAGTCTTTGTACCTGGACTCTGATTCTCTCCAAATACTCTACATTTCTCTTAAATTGTAGAGCCCAGAGGTAGACACAATTTCTAGTAAGGAATCTGAGGACCAATGACCATGATGAACAAACTGCCTTGGCATCCTTCAGACTCTGCTTCTGTACAGAAGTAAGCTCAGGATATTTTATACAGAGCAGCGATTTTTCAAAACGGGTTAAATGTTAGTTAGAATTTTATTTTTTCCAAATAAAATCAAAGATACTTTGATTGAAAGGGAAAGAATTTGATGGCCTCCATCTTGATCCTATATAGCTCCACAGTAAGTACCTGGCGGTTTAGGACTCTTTAGCAATGAGTCTGGAAAATGTCTGAACTATAAATACCATTCCAAGTGTCTTGGGCAGTGGTTGGGGAAGGTAGCTGAAGAATGGGGGCTGCTTGGTTCTAGATAGCTTTCATTTGTTGGTAGAATTAGATCCTACAAAACTTAAAATAACTCTAATTCCAGATTTGGTAATAGGTACTTTGTAAATCTCAGTGATATTAATCATTAGGAAAGTAGCAAAGCTGGTAAATACACCATCTCAATATACCTTGGTGAAAGTTTTGATTTAAAGATATAAAATTATGTGCTTGGTTTTAACCCTATAATTACAACTAGCAGCACAGCCACATCTTTATTACAAAAGCCTAAACCAGGTATATAAAATTTACTTCTATATCATCAATTTGATGAATACCATGAATGACTTAATAAAATCTTAAGCTAAATTTAAAGTCCAGCAGCAAGCTGGCACATTCTAAGCGTTAAGAATTGAAATGGACAATTCAATTTCCTTTTGCCAGCTTGAAAACAGTTTCTACTTTACTATGTGTAAGGCAAGGAATATAAATATGTGCCCAGGAGGGGGCCTGACATATAACAGGAACTCACCAAAAAATTTTTCAAAGAATAAATCCAAGAATGCCAACTGCATTCGATTGGTAATATCTATAACCTCCTAAGGAGGTTTCCAGTAATATCAAGAAAATGCACTGCAAAGTCATTTGTTAAGGGGGCAGCATTTTCTCATGTTTATCTTATAACACTCTTTATACTAAATAACAGGATTAGGGTATACACGACATATGCAATTCTTACCTCTAAGTACAGTTGTGGCTTTGTCATCCATTTTAGTTATTAAAATTATCTTCAAAAATGTAAGTTATTAAGATTTCTTCCTCTTGATTTTATTTTTTGACTTCGTCGGTCTCCTTTCTTTCTCAGTACCCAAATTACCTGTAATTCCGCTAAAATTCCTCTTATTTTTCATTTTATCTTTTTATTTACTGTTTTTTCCTTCTAATTCGTCTTATAAGCATCCTGAGGACAAAACTTTATGTTGCCATTCTCTCTCATTGATCATTTATCATTCCTACCCTGAATAGGCTATAGAATAAAGAATGCATTTACTATGTAACCTCATAAACATCTAGAAATTACAAAGTTACACCTGGTAGACTAAGAATAATGTGTTCTTCTGATTCTTTTATCTTTATGGAAAATGGACATCACTTTTACAGTTAATCTGCAAGTAAAATAAATTACATGGAATCATATGTTAGCAGAATTTTATAAACCTCAAAATTAGACTGGATTGAATCTGATGTTTACAGTGGAAGACAGACAATGTACAAAAAAGCAATTACTACAGCGAAGTATTTCCTTTGGTATCCAGCTCCTTCTCTTTATTTCTGGCCAGATTCAATATATTTCAAGTAAAGTTCTTTGCCACAACCTGCAAATCCACTTTAAATGAGGCAAGAATAGCTCTTAGTGTAAGCACTGACAGAGATAGTAAATGTTCTTTTTTATCTCCTTGTCTTCCTTCTTGATTAATATCTTATACTTTGAATAGCCCCTCCAAAAAAGGCAAAAAAAAAAAAAAGAATAGCAATTATTTTATAACTTCTTGTATGCCCAACACTGAACATTTCTTTAAATCTGTATGACAAAAGTATTACTATACCATCTTAATTTGAGAAAACTGAGACTGAGAGACTTTACCCAAGGTCAATTAGTTATGTTCTTGAAGCTACATCCAACATATTCCAAAGCCCACGCTCTTTCTCTGATGCTATGCTGCATTCTACAGGAACTAAAGCTTTGCAAACAAACAAACAAACAAAAACATAAAAATACATTCCTTTATCAGAAGGAAGGGGGGAGGAAGGAGGGGAAAAATAAAAAAATAAAATGTTAAAAAAAATACATTCCTTTCATATTTCTCCAACCAAAACCCTAAGTGCATAATCTTGTTGTGTTGCGATTCCCCTTCCACATCTTTGAACGTTATCATTCAATTCACTTTGAAGATTTCAATGAGTATCTCTAGTTAGCCCCAAAGTTCTTGTCCTCTTCTCTCGTAATATGCTCACCCTGGGCGAGTGCATAGAAGTATTTAATAGGCAGTATTTAGCATAGAAGTATTTAGCAGCCTATCGGACTGCTAACTGATGTTTCATGCACTCTTTCTTAAATAAACCAGAACTATAGCATATAATCTGTAGCCTTACTGCAGTGTGATAAAGTGTATGAAAAAGTCTTGCAAGGCAAAATGAGCACAAAATTCCTTTAGGTTTTTATGGTTTGTCTCTTTTACATTTCCATCTCACATCAAATTTTCCTGACTACCAGCCTTTTACTTCATCTTCCCTAAGCATTTTATCTCATTTTCATGTATAAAGACATGACTTCCTTTATACTCATTCCATCAGAGCATTTAATATTTTATTAAAATACGTAATTACAGTAATAAGTACAGCTGACCCGTTCTGCCTCTTTGTAAACATATATAACTTTTGACTGGCGGGAGTGGAAGTGTGTAGACATACTAGACCCTTGAACACTAGGGAGAGCTGTAGATCTCAGTCTAGGTTTTACAGAATGAATGAACAATATCTATTATGCTGGTGGTGATTTGGTAAAGTGGAGACTGATTAAAGAATCTTGGTTTTGAAGTCGCATAGGCCTGGGTTCAAATCCTGCCTCTGTGATAGCAAGGTTGTCACAAAGTTAAATTAAATGGTGCCTGTTAAGTGTTTAGCACAAGTCTGGCACACGGTGGGTGCTCAAATTAAGCAACGGCTGCTGCTGGTGGAATGAAGCTACATCAGCAACATGCTGAAGCTGCTCCAAATCCATCTGGCAACCACGCAGTTGCTAATAAGTTTTGTTCTGGTCAGTATTAACATACTAGAAGACCTTGCCACTTGAATCTTTTATAAGGAAATTGATCAATTTTGAAGTAAAACTTTTCCTTTCCCTAAACTTGGTCTTCTTCTTCTATCACCAGCTTCTACCCAAGAGCAAGGAAACTTCTAGGCCTCTGTCCTCACTTAACTGGGTCCTCTCTGACCCCAGTGATCTAAAATAAATACCTATCTACATAGCACATCCTATGAGGCTGCTGCCTTAGGATTCTTCTAATTCACTCCTTTACATTTCTGCTATGTGTCTCATATCACTCATAAAACTTTCCTGTTTTATACCTGTTTTCTCCTACGAACTTCTTTCAACTGTAAATTCCTTGAGAGTGCCAGGTGTGATTTATTCCTGGAATCCCAGTGTGGCCAGCACATTGCTTGGCATATAGTAGGCACTAAAGAAATGT